ATCATGCATCAGCAGATGCATGACAAACAGAACCAAGGAGGTGATAGTTCCCCTCTATCAGGCACTGGTCAGACTGCAGTTGTAGTACTGCATCCAGTTCTGGGTGCCACACTTCAGGAGGGATGTGGATAACCTGGAAAGGGTCCAGAGAAGGGCTACTCGTATGGTTAACGGCTTGCAGGCCAAGCCCTACGAGGAGAAACTAGGGCACCTGGACCTCTTTAGCCTCTGCAAGAGAAGGGTGAGAGGTGACCTTGTGGCTGCCTATAAATTCATCATGGGGGCGCAGAAGGGAATTGGTGAGGCTCTACTCAGCAAGGCGCCCCTGGGGGTCACAAGAAATAATGGCCATAAGCTAGCAGAGAGCAGATTTAGACTGGACATTAGGAGGAACTTCTTCACAGTTAGAGTGGCCAAGGTCTGGAACAGGCTCCCAAGGGAGGTGGTGTTCTCCCCTACCCTGGGGGTCTTCAAGAGGAGGTTGAATGAGCATCTGGCTGGGGTCATCTGAACCCAGCACTCTTTCCTGCCTATGCAGGGGGTCGGACTCGATGATCTATTGAGGTCTCTTCCGACCCTAACATCTATGAATCTGGTCCGCCACAAGGCTTCTTCACACCCTGGGATAACTGCCTGCAAACCTGCTCTACAGATGTGCTGTTCAGACACTGCTCCCCTGGTGCTGGGGGTCCAAGCTGACCTGCAAAGTTAAAGAACCCTGAGGGACTTTGCAAAATGGAGGAATGCTCACAGTTAATGCTGATGTCTCCATAAGGCAGCGGCAGCAGTGGGGAATGCAATGGGTGCTGGGTGTACCGCAGGATGGGGTTCCGCCGATACGTCTGCTCCACCACTTCAAAGTTCATGCTGTTTTCCTGGAGGACAGAAGAAGTCACCTCATACCAGCCCCACCTCTTGCCAGAGCATGAACACAGCCAGGGTTAGATACGAGTTCTTCACACTTGTGTCAACACCAGGCTCATGGTTTTGGTTACCAGGCAGTGCTTTTGGAGAATGGGGACAGCTCCCTCCAGGCCCTGCCCAAAGACACACAAGGGGCCAAGGCAAGAGCTGGGCCCAGGAGTGTGCATGTGCTCAAGCATGCATGTCCACAAAACATGTAACTGGATTTACAGTGACCAGGGAGTGAAGGCACCCTGACATGCACAAGCTGGGTTTTATCATATGTGCACCAGGGCTTGAGGTGACCCCAAAGTGGGGAGCCTGCTGCTTGTCATACACACCCCTGGGCTGTGGATCCAAATCTCAGGGCCGGGGAATAACATATGACTGGAGTGGGAATCCCAAGGTCTATGCCTGGCAGATTCCCACCTGCCAGGGGATGGGAAGTTCCTGACACCTGGGGAAGGGGATTTGCTCACACCTGATACAGAATCCCCTATGCACCTGATGGGAACATCCCAGCAGGAATAGGTTAGGCTCCTGCAGATCAGTCCACACCCTGAACATGTGAAGGCTTTAGCCACAGGCATGCTCATGTTGCTCTCAGACCTCTCAAGAGTCTACTCCTCCCTCATCACATCCAAGACAGCAGCAGCAGATTAGACAGGTGCCAAACTGTTTCAAGACTTTTACTGCGACTTACCCTGATGTCACGAATAAGTTGCTGTGTGGGTGTTTCTATGGGAACCTTGCTGTCAATGACACCTTGGATAGCAGAGGCCCAGCGCATGGCTTCGTTCAGCAGCTTGGTGTATAACCTGTATGAGTGCTTCCTGCCATGGACAATGATGTTCCAGAAGCCTGTGTCACAGAAAGAATCAGGAAGGTGAAACTTGACTGCTCTTCCCAACTCCATGTAGGAAGCAGCTGGAGCAACACACTTCTGACAAAGGGCAACAGCCGCCCTATCACGAGTGACATGAGAAGCCTGATTGGAAGGGGCTGTATGTGTGGACACCAGAATCCGCCGCTCATGTAGAACATTCAGTCCAGGCCCTGGCCCCAGAGCCACCTTCTAGGATCTAAGTGCTACCAGGTGCAACAGGGCAGCCTCCCACACTTGCCTACTCTGCAGCTGCCAGCCTATTTAGGGCTGGCAGCTTCACTGCACCCAGTGTAGTATTGAGACCCCAGAGAAGCTCACACTCTCGTGTAGGAGGAAACACCTGGCTGAATGAGTGACCCAGCTCCTGGTACTGATTGAAAAAAATAAGTCATAATAGATCTCAGAGGCCACTGCCATGCACTTGGCATATGGCTGTCCCCAAGGTCAATTTGTGCCTGCAGAGAACGTGGAATATGGCTGAATGACCACCAAGGAGAAGGGGAGATCTGCTCTCCTGTCACTTCCCACCCTGTCTCAGCATCCTGCTGCAACCCCAACTGCTCTATAAACTTGGCCGGGGAAAGCCCCCCACCCTCCATCCCCAGTGCAGCCCCTTGCTCTGCCCTAGGAAGAAGCTTGGCCTTCTCCGCTCTGTAGCCACAGCCCCCCTTTACCACCTGCTTTGCTGGCAGGTGATAGTGAAGCATGCTGGCCCACCTCCTCCAAGGAACTCTGCCATACTTCACCACCTGGCTCTGACACGGCATAAAGCGAGAGGAGGTCATTGTGAGGATGACACCAGGAGAGCCCCCAGGCTGTGCTGAACCTTGCACTGTAAGGAGGACTCAGATGCAACCATTTCACACATAATCCCTGTTTTTAGACACAGTTGCTTTCTGTGGACACTAGTAATTTCTGTATTATTTTCTGGACAGATTGGCACATCTTTGCAGAGAAAGCATTTTAACGTGATCTCCTTTAAGACGTTTTCCTTATAGTCTGTAATGGTTTGGGGCTCTCCTGGCTGAACAGCCAGAGTCTATAGGAAAATCCATGCTTTTCATGACTGTTCCCATCACAGCTCAGGCAGAGTCCGCTGGTTTCCAATTGTGCACTGGTCTGCAATTCAAAAGAACTGCATGTATGGGCTGAGATAGGTTCAGTGCTGGATGGGCCAGGGAGCTGTGCTGGAAAGTAAGCACTTTTGGAACATCTGCCTTCTGAGGTGCATAGACTGCAAATGTCTTAACTGCCACTCTCCTTAGTTCTCAGCAACCATACTGGTAGAATTTGCAGCCGGTCATCCTCACTTCCAGCGTAATTCAGCATTTTGTTTGAGGACACCCAAGTGAGGTCTATGGACATTATGCCTTTTGCTTATAAGAGACAGATGGGAAAGGCAACACAACAGAGGGAAGTGAGGTACGAGGCGTTGCTTTATTTCCGTGGGACAAATATGGCTCTGACTTTGGACAGCTTCATAGTAGCCAGCCTGACAGAAGAAAAGTGGCGGTACAATAAAGGTCTATGAAACAGCTCAGCCCAATGCTCTGGGGCTGAATACACTGTCCAAGCAAAGATCCTGACACTGAGTTCTCTAAGTCCTACATAGCATTGGCCTGCTCTAGTCAGTCTAGGCTCTTGTACCAGCCCCACTCACTGGGTCATCAGAACGCACCCGAGAACCCTCCCATTCCTGGACACAGGGCCACAGGCAAATGATCTGCCTTCGAAACATGTACTACTCCTGTGGTTCTTTCCTTCTTACCAGTTTCTTTGAAGACCCTCTCATCGGGCTGGACCACTGAGCAGAGGCTATTGAGTACGAGGGTACCCAGTTTGGTGGCTGTGCGCTCTGAGGATTTGTAGTAATCTAGGGCAGTGTTTGTCAGCACAAACCAGCGCTTCTTCATCTTCAGGGAGGACATCTTGTTGCTGCTCTGGACTTCCTTATGCAGCCAGCCTAATGGGAGAGAGAAGCAGTGAGTTCCATTACAGGAGGCTGTCAGTGGTGGGGGCTCTACCACACTCCTGGCATCAAAACCCTCCTGGCTCCCCATCCTCAGTTAGGTGTAGCCTGACCTCTACTTCCTCCCAGTGGCCAGAGCCCTTCCAGCCTCCTTTCTGCTGGCCCCAACAGCGCCACCCTTCTTCCCATTAATCTCTCTCACATCAAGGACACCACGGCCACAGAGGGTAACTGGTAATAAATCAGCATGTCCCTTCCTATCCTTCCTGCCATAACTAGATGCACCTATGCCAGTGGGTCTCAACCCAAGGCCCCCCTCTGAAAATGCCAGCTCTTCACTTTCATTCATTTCTTGAATATGTAAAAATAACAGAGCAATTCTTCTGTTGCAAAGAACTCAGAAAGTCACAGCAGGTCAGAATGATTTTGATACTATGGATTCCTATTTGAAATCTCTGGGTTTATGTTGTGAATCATGTGTAGGTGTTAGCACACTTTAACCGTGCTAATATTATGCAACACCCTTAAAAGAATC